ATTTTTGGTGGGATGATGTGAGAAATCACTTTGGTAGTTTTACTTCTCATAAACTTGTGTCCTTTTATAGCTAAACTCAAGCTGATTGCTTGATACAGCTTTCTAACTGGTCAGTATTTTGCATGTAAATTAGTCATGAAACAATGGTCAAAGTAACATCTGCCGGTTGTTAAGGCTTCCTTTTGTCCTTCTTCCAAGGAAAACCCTAATCGAGATCTTGCCTCTTCCCGTGAGACCCTGAAAATCGGTTTGCAGTGAATTGCAGAGATATAGGTGCTCTTTGCTGGTAAGGTTGAGATGCACACCAAGCTTTTCTGGAAGATTGTTATTGTGGTCTTTGAGCATAGGGACTGGGTTATATTGCTGAACCTAATTAGTGTAGTTCCAGTGATGCTAGCTGAAGATTGGCCTTTAGCTTTGGTATTATAAAGTGGCAAATGCTTTGACTTCCTTGATTTCAGCTGGTGCTTGAGGATGCTTGCTGTTTTTGCAGAGCAGGACATATGCTGCTAAACAACATTTTGACTCAGAAGTAGAAGGCTGTGGAATTTAGGTGTGCTCATGCCTTATTTTTGTTGTGATTCCCTTGTGGCCAAGGAGTGGGGGAGGAGGCAAGTCAAGTTGGATGGATACGAGCTAAGTCTTGATAACAATCTTTTGTCACTAAAGTAAGTGTCAGTCATTTTGCACAGGGCGCCCTGGTGTTGCTAACGTATCCTTCGTTCCACATGGTTTTCTTGCCCAGAGGCTCACTTTTGCTGATCAGAACGGATTGTTTGACTTTTTTCATAGCGCTACCTTTTTGTGGCTAAAAGCTACAAAATTTGCTAGGTTATATGAAGTAAAATATACCTTTTTAGGGTATTACTGAATTTTGGGGGGGTGTTATCATGCTTTGTTTTCCCACGTATCCTTTTTTTAAATAGGAGCTTCTTCAGTATTTGTGTACTCTTTCTGAGCCATATCTTTATGCCATCCCAGTGTGACATTGTTATTGACCTTCATGGATGTGAATCCAACATGTTACAGAATTCTGGCTTTCTGGTTATTCAGAACAGTAGTTTACTTTGGGCCTTCTTTTTCAAACTAAGGTGCAAAGATGCCTCTCACTAAATATTTCTAGTCATCAGAAAGATGTTGCACAGGAAATCCATGTTTAAAATCTATGTAACACTGTGGTAAAAGCACTGGAATTGTGTGCTTTTAGATTAATGCTGAGCTAGCTATTGTGTTGATACTGTACTTGCATTGTAAGCCTGGCAGAAATCACTTTCCTGTATGTAGGAGATACTGCGGCAAGACCATTCGGAGCAGGACCAGGAGAGGTGAGCAGGTGAACTGTAGCCTGGTTCTGACAGTGGTTCTGGAATGAAATTTTCTTGCATTTAATGCATATCCCACAATAAATGGTGGTAATTGACCATTAACTACTTACACGGAAGGAAAACAGCTGTGGGGACCTAGATGCCTAAAAGAATTTTGAATGAGAAGTGAGACCTTTCCTATAGAATTCTTACGCCTCGTATAGAGTGTTCTTATCTGTTAAAATAGTATTAATGTTAGTTAAATTATTGTTAAAGATTGTGATTTTTAAGTTAAAGGAAATGGTCCTTTTACTCCTGTTGCTGTTCATGATAAATGAAAACATAATCGTCTTTCATGGTAACATCATCTGTAGAAGCATCTCTGCAGAAGTCAGGCGGCCATAAGTTGACCACAGCTTTGCGGTGTACCTGCCTAGACCTTCCCCTCACTGTCAGGGGATGAGTATAAGGCTTTTAGACATAAAAAGGCAGGTTTTATTTGAGTAAAAACACACATTTAGGTAGAGAAAACTCAAAGCAACTTAAGAAGATAGAGCAGAAATAAACATTCTCCTTCCTGCTTTACCTTTTCAGGCACTTCCTTTCTTCTAGTCAAGTGAATGGCTCTTAGCGACAGGAAACTCTGCTCAGTTCTTTTGGTGTCTAGGAGGTTTTCTGTCCCCTCTGCATTTTGGCTGACTGCTCCTTGATCTCCCTGTGGTTTCTGAATAACCGGCAGGCTTTAGACTTTCTACAGTGACTCTTTTGCCTGCTGCATCTTGCCTTCTCTGAAGGAGCAATCTCTTATCTCCTTCCAAGTTATCCACTGCCTCTCATTGTTTTGTGGGAACGTAATGCTACATTCAGACTGCACTTGCTCTATTTCTGCAGTGTGTGAGTTCTTAACTGAGAGCTGGGACTGGGCAGTCTACCAGTTTAATATGGAAGAAAGAATGTTGTTTAGCAGGTGAAAATTTGTTTCTGGTACTGCTATCTTAGCAGGACCTGACTTTTCCTGAAAGTTGCTGAGAAGTGGTTTTGTTCTTGTTTGTTTGTTGGTTTGTTTTGATGGACTCTATATTCTTTCTGAGGACTGTACCTATAAAGTACAGTAACCAAATTTATCTCAACTTCAAATATTTTACTATAAATTGGAAAAAGTGGAAGTGCCAGCTAACACTTTCTTTGTATATATCAGCAGGATTTGTAGGGAGATGTGGAGGGTTAAAAAGTTTTTTGACCATGAGAAGGTGGCCTGTGTGCTTGCAGTATTCTGTACCCCTCTTTATTAGAAACATATTTTTATTACTTGTATAATAAATGCCTGATGCTTTCTTCCATGAAAGTACTCGTCGTCTAGGAGTTTGGCTGGGAGGGAATTATAGTTTTTTTTTTTTTTTTTTTTAAACCTTTCTTCTGAAGCTTCCTGAATTATCGGTTAAATAGAACAGCAGATGCTCTTTACTCCTACTGTTTCACCAACCAAAATAGATCCCACAGAGCTTAAAGGAAATGTGCCCTGACATGCATGTATATAGTAGAATTTTAGTGTGTACTAACTTTTAGGAATATGCATGCAGCGTACTGAGCACCCAGATTTCTCACTGGCACTGTGAGACAGACTGTGGTTCTGTGAGGCAGAACCAAGGTGGCATTCTGTTCTTTATGCATAGGTTTTGAAAAGAAGTAGTGGAATAGCCACTGAGACTTCTCGTGAAATGTTAAAGGCAGAAATAGCCTGCTGAAAGCATGCTGCAGGCAAAGGCAAAGCATTCCAAGAAGCCAATAAGGACACAGAGCAATTCTTCTGATGTGTTAGTTTTGGACCAGGTTTAACTAGTTCTTAATAAGAACTTTAGGGAAGTATGGGAGCATGTGGGAAGCTAGCTAATAGCTGGCTAATTGAACTAAGGGATAATGAAAATCTTCCCCAAAGGAGGTGCTACTACTCATCCAAGCTTTCTAGATCTTTAGTTAGTAAAAACACTGTTCAGGAGGTGCCCCCTTCCTGAACTAAGATGGAGAAAGCAAAATGCGATAAAATTTTGGACTGACAAGTCTAGTGTTTCTCACTGATTTAAGAAGCTGTTAGTATAATGCAGAGGCTTCCTAGCATACTTCTGTACAATGTGTGAGAGGAATAGTATTAAGGAGAGCGAGCGTGCTTAGCTCTCCCTCCCTGAGCTAGTCAGCTGGGAAAGCTGAAGAAAGTGGTACTCCTGAAATCGTGAGTTTGCCAGGCTCAGCCCATGAACTACAGTTCAGAGTTAAGTGCCCATGTGAGATAGATATTCATGCCTTCTCTGTCTAAATTCTCCCTTTGGGTATAATAAACCAGCTGTATTCTCTGAAATGGTTTGGGAAATAGAAGGTGGTATATAGTAACCTTAACTTTGCTCCATTTTGTAGAAAAGTTGAGTGGTTCGCTCCTTCCCTTTGAGGAGTTCAAACCTGCAACCCTCACTTTCTGTGCTTGAGAGCAGCGCTCCATCCATTCGACGTATGCAGGAGGAAATGCCTTCTTAGGGCCAACAAAAGTGTCCACAGGGGGATGACAGCTTCGGTTACGTCCTTCAGGAGGAAGGGAGTACTGGCTGCCAGCTCTGTTTTCAGGCCTACAGTTTTACTACCCACGTTGATAACTACCATGAACGTCTTGTCTTCTAGTAGCACCTCTGATTTCAGGGCAGAGCACAATAACCAGTGCTGTCAGCATGTGGTAGAAGGGTTCTGACCACGCCATTCAGTTTTGGTTTCTCAAGAAAATTAGAGGCAAGAACATTCACTTGAGGGTCCGAAGTGTGCTGAAGTATAAGATAGGCATTAGGTGACAGAAACTCAGCTCTACCAAAGTGGTGGCAGTTCTAGGTAGGCTCAGTCTCAGGGTTTTATTTGCTGTGAGAACAGCTCTCATGGAAGTGTATTGGCTTTATGCATCTGAAGTGCCTGGGAGTTAGATAAATACTAGTGATGGCACCATATAATTGGGCACCTAAACTCTGCCATGCACAGACTTTGGACACCAAAACACTTTACTGAGCTAGGCTTTTTAATCTAAATCAAAAGGGAGTGAGTTTTATTGTCATTTTACAGTTCAGGAAATTAAGGCACAGCGTTCGTGGTATTTTCAAGGCCACAAAGTCAACCTTTATCAGAGTAAGAGAGAGAATCTGATTCTTCTGTATTTAACCACAAGATTTACCTCTTTTATGTGTCAACTGTTTTATTGTATTGTATCCTGTATATGGCTTCAGATTTTTCTTTACAGATTGTGTGCTGCAGATGGCTTCATGGTTTCATGCAGACTGGTGGATATCATCTGGGAGCTCTGCTAGAGTCACTGATCTTAGTAGCATAAATTCTCCCTATTGCTTCTGTGCTATGTTGTGCAGGGACTGAGACAGTACTGGTATCACTTCACTGGGTGGAAGAGAAGATATTCCAGGCATTAGTTACCCATACTGGAAGAGAGGATAGTTATCATTGGCTCCCCAAATACTTGGGCAGCAAACCAACTCTAAGCCAGCAAACCAACTCTAAGCGTGTACAATTACAATTTTGGGGAAAAATGTTCTGTTCAGATAAATAATTATATGACAGCTGTTACTGATGATTGATCCTGTTCTTGAATGATGAATGATCTTGCATTTTTTTTTTTTTTAATACATGGTGTGTAACTTCATCTTTTCTTTTTAGTTGATGTCTGTCAGTGTGTTAGGTGTTTCTGCTTGGATGAGGGACTACCTGAATAATGTTCTCACTTTAACTGCAGAAACAAGGTAAGGCTTTCCTTAAACCTACTAATCTGTGTAGCAGAATGATTGTGGTATATATCGTTAATTCTGTGTAGGAGGTTAACTAATTACAATTTCTAGAGTTATGATGCCTTCAGTTATTCTAATTATTATTTTGTTAAAAGGTATATTTTTGCAATTTTTGCAATTTGTAGCAACAGTTGAAATTACAGATAGGGGAAAGACATTAATTTAATCTTAGTTCTGTGCCTATCTTTCCTGACAGGGATCAATTTTTGGCCATCTGCCAGCATGTAACCATATTATATTACTGTTTAGTTTTGAATACTTTATTCAGTTCAGAGATTTAAGAATGTTGTTAGTTTTATTACTGCAATGCTTAGGAGCTCTAGTCATGGAACAGAGCTTCATTGTGCTACATACCGTACAAGTGTAGGACAGGAAGATTGCCTTTGCCCCAAAGAGGTTTCAGGCTGTGCTTTGCCGTCTGATACCTGAAAATACCATTTGACTCCAAAACTTTATAGAAGTGATTTCTGTGAAACTTTTATAGTACATCTACTAATGTACCTCTTTTCTTTTAATGGCTATACTGCATTTTTTTTTTGCTATATAATTTTTGTGTGTGATTACACTTTTTTTGATTCTGATTTTGATTTGCTTCAGGGTGGAGGAGGCTGTCATTTTGACATATTTTCCTGTGGTCCATCCAGTCATGATTGCCGTTTGCTGTTTCCTTATCATAGTTGGAATGTTGGGCTACTGTGGAACAGTGAAAAGAAATCTGTTGCTTCTTGTCTGGGTATGTTTCATAACCTCTAAAAACACCTATCTTCTGTTTTACTTGAACAGTGAAAGAAAAGTATAATGCACGGGTACTAGATAAATACTGATTTTTTTTTTTGTTTTATTTTTTATCATTGTGTTAGGATTGCAAAGCATACAGTGAGAAAGAATTTATTGCCTAGAATGCATTATGTTATGACTATAAGACAAGCAGTGTCTCGTTTGTGGAAAATTTAGTTCATTTAGTAGTGGAGGAATTACTGAAGGAAAAACCTCAAACTCTTTAAGTACTAGTAATTGCAGGAACATGAGCTCTGAAGTGAACCCTTATGCTACTGTCTTGACTGTTAAATAACTCGCTAACCCAGACTTTAAATAGCTAGATAACCCAGGGTTTGCTTTATCTATGCAGTTGATTACAGATGTAAAGTAACAGCATTTGTAGCTGATGAAGATTAATCGTGAATGTGTTTGGAAAGTTTACGTTCTCTTGCTTGAATCTGGAATTTTGCAGTTGCAGTTCATGCAGCAAATTTAAAAATCAATTTCAAGTAGCCACCTTCATTTGGAGACTGCATAAGTAAACCAACAGCCATTGAAGTGCAATAGCTTCTCTTCCGCAAGGCTCTATGCACAGTTTAAATGTGATGAGACTTTGACTATACAGGGCGCCAAATGTCTTTTAACTTCTTCTGGAAGTCAATGAGTTAGAGGACAATAAAAAGCTTACATAGATTTTATAGATTTATGTTTTAAAAAATGTTTAGACTTTTGGCAACTGCAGAAATTGGGGAGTACTGTGTACCTATATGCTTCTAAGAAATCTATCTGGTAGGCCTTTGCAGAGTTGGGCTTCAGTCTTTTCATGTGAGGATTAGTGGGATTCCAAGCAGGGTATAAGCCTGAGAGGGTGGGAGCAACACATGTGAGAGAGGCTTATCAGATTTATAGATACTATAATTCCAGCAGGAGAAAGTGGACAGGTAAAATCCTTTAATTCTTGAGAATGTCCAGGTGGAGCCTTTTACAGGAATAGTTGAGATCATGCTGTTTTTTCACCACCGTGTATTCTGCGTTCTCCCAGAGATTCTGCTGTTGCATTTTACTTTGGATCTGTTCAGACTTACCTACGTGAGACCTCACCAGTTTTACACAAGATGACAACAAAAGTGACAAGTTGTCTGAGATTTATGCAAACTTTTGTTTTATGTAATAGAAGGTATTCTTATTGCTGCTAAAACAATCAGGAAAGTGTACTAAGGCTTTGTGTTAAAAGGGCTTTTTTGAGAAAACTGGACGAAGCTTTATTTGAGATTTCCAGTTGAAGGTCTGTAGTACGAGTGTTCCCTAATTGCAAGATGGCAAATGCTGTTTCTCCTTTAGAATATTTAAGCCTACAGTACAATATGAAGATTATAGTTTCAAAGTTACATACTTAGGGAAACATTTTTATTTAAATTTGAATATAGTAATATGATAGTCATGCACCTCTATTTCTGAGGCTTAAATTTGCAATATTACAATTAGCGGTAGTAAATTCTAAGATGTTACATAGTTATGAGTATTTGCATAAAAATAACAGATTCCTGCAATTTTATGCTATGTAATTATTTATCTAGTAAGATTATTTACATATTTTAAAAGGGCTTTGTAAATTATTTTATATAAATAATGAAACTATTAGAAAATATTAAAAGATATTATGAAGCCCTTAGTTTTTATTGTAAGATTATAAGATTATTTTCATAATGTTTTTGATTTTATGGTGATAGCTTTTAAGGTGAATTAAAAGGCAAAAACAACTATGTAATGTTGACCAATACTACGTATTAACTGAAAACAAATATAAGTTATAGTTTTTTGTATCAACCTTCAAAAAGAAAGGCAACTAACTGAAAAAGGATTAAAAAATAGTTAAGTGTTGTTGGCCTCCAGTTTATTTAAACTATTAGTGAAAAGAAGAAATCATTTATAGCTTTTAATGCCATTTGGAAGTAAATTTATTTAATGTGTGTTCAAGCAGTCGAATAACCCTAAATCAAGACAAGTCATTTTTATAGTTTAACTTGCAGTATTTCATTCTCAGGAGCATGAGAATTTGCTCTTGCTAACCAAACTGATAAGCAAAACCTAAATGATATCTTCCTAAGTGTGTCACTGTCTTTGATTAATCATTAAATCAGTACAATCCTGTTATACTGCAGAAATATGCAGACATCAGTCAATGCTTTATTCATCAGACTAATCAGAGAAGTGATGGCTCAACACAATGAGCCATTGTAAAACGAGATGAACTAAAAGAGAAGAAAAGAACCTTCGTGTAAAACATTAATAGCCTCCTCAATCATGATTTTACTTTTCCCATTGAAGTGCAGAAACAGCCATAATGAATACATCCAAAGATACTCGGAACGAAATCTTGATGTTTTTGACAGCATACTAATGCAATGTTGTTAATTGAATTAGATTTTTGGAAGATCTAATAAAGCATAAGGACCATTATATATATATATATGTATATATATCATTGTGTTCCATATTTTTAATACAACTTATATTAATCTGTTTTTGAAGTTTCACCTTGCAGTTAAGTGCTCGGAACCTCTTCAGCTTCACGTGGGGCCTAAATATAAATTGAACTAGTGTGTTTATTGTTAATAGTAATAATCATGAGAAGACAATAATATATCATCTTCTATTGTTTATACACGGTCATTTGACCAACTGTGAAAGTTTCAGATTGTTAAATGAAATTTGGTGCATCTGTACAGGCTCGATCTCCAATTGTGTGTAGCAGTCCTGCTCTGTGTATGTGTATTTGTAATAAATGTGTTCAGTCTTCTGAGATGTATGCTCTGGATAATGTGTAGAACCAGCATTTTTATGGTTGCGTTATTTATCTTTTAATTTAACGTGCTTCAGGAATACGTGCTCATGAAAGCTAGTGGTATAAAGAACCCGTATGTACCATAAGTATCTATAAGGTAATTTTTGTGTGTGTTGCAAATGACCACATAGAAGTGACTATTTCAGGTGCAGAAGGCCTCTCCACAAATTGCTGAGTGGTTATCTTGCTGTTTTTCTTTTTTCTTTTATTTTCTTTTTCTTTCTTTCTTTTTTTCCCCCTCAGTGTTAACTGTTTAAGTATTAGAATGAATCTTCTGAGATAAGAAGGTTTGACTGTTGTCCCTATGATAAATGACTGTTTTTTTCATCATGATATTTAATACTCATACATAATACATAATACATAATATTTAATTTCTGCAGCTTGCTGTACCAGTCCTCTAGAGCAAACCATGACAAACTGAAAATATAATTATTCATAGTATGACTCTTTAATGTAAAAAATAGATTTGTGTTCAGCATGTCTAGTCATTTTGATTTAGAAGTATAAAATACTGTTTGTATATTTATTACTGCTTGGAGTCTAAGTGTAGAGTTATTAAAGTTGTAGAAGTAGTAATATTATGAAGAGAGTGCTTGAGAGTTGTTGCGTGTCGCACGTTGAGCGTGAGACTTTCACTGTTGGCTCCTGCCTTATGTTCTGCTACAGCTAAGGCTGTATCTCGTGTATTTTTATAGTGCAGCAATATGGTCTCTTTCCAACTGCATGACTCTGCATGCCCGACATGGGCTCTAACAACCTTACTAGAAAGCACATTCTCTACTTGCAAGCCACTGCTACCACCAGTGCCTCATTTCAGAGGAGAATACCTGAGAGGTTTCTGAAATAGAGGCAAAGGAGAAACAATATGTGCGGAGAGCATGATTCCTGAAGGATACAACATGCCTTTAACTGGAAATAACTCCTGTGAGAATTCCAGCCATGTATTTATTGTATAATGTGAGATGAAATACAGTGAAAAGCTGTGGGTTAAAGACTTAGGGCTGAATCGAACTGTATTAGAACAGGTTTAAAAAAAAAAAGACAAAAAATAATAATACTAGGATCTTAAGTATCATTTTATTTTGTCAGTGTTCTATTTATTAAATTAATGTGAGATGCCCTTTGGTATGTAACCATTTGGTGTAACATTAATTCCTTAGTCCTTGCAGTTTCTTGTGAAATAACTCATAATTCACTTAAAAATGACTTTTGTATTCCTAGTCAAACAAAATCTTCTATTCTGTGTTCTTAAAACATGCAGTGAGAGGAGTTCTTCAAAGGCACAGAAGAAATTAAATCCATGTCTTTTGTATCTAGCAGATTACTTCAGAAACAACATCCTCTCTAAAGGCAAAGTTGTATTGCCCAAATAAGTTTTTAATTTACAGTAATTTTCTTTTAAGTAGGAAGCTGCTTAACAGGCAAATTCGATGCATCTGACAATGCAAAATTATACCAACTTAAGTAAGTCTAGTGGTTCTATCTATATGCTTAAAAAGCTTCAGAAAAAATATTTAGCCCAAAGTAGCAGAGGAGGACTTTTCCTTAATATTTACTATTCAAATCATCTTTTTAGACAATATTTTTTGTTGAGTACTGGAGTCTTCTTCTTTCTTCTTTTCTGTTACTTACATCGTAACCTTTCTTAAGAGTGTTCTAGTTTACTAGTAAAAATACCTTACAAAACTGGGAATGCTTTTCAGTTTGAATCCTTTTGTCACCAATATGTTAACTGAGGAAGCTACCAGTAATAGTAGCTACTATTGAGGTTCATTAGATGTTCTGCCCAGCTTGGCACATGAGAGCAGTTTTGTCCTCGTCCTTGTAACCATGGAACACAGTTGCACCAAAAATTCATATTTATTAAGGAGTTGTTTTGTTGTTGATTCAGAGGGAAGTCAGGTAAAGCATAAGAGATTTTAGAAAGTTGTGCACATAGCATTTGGAGTGGAGGATGAAGAAATCTAGATTGCTCATGAGAGAGAGGCCTGAGAGTAAGATGGGATCCTGGGTCGCTTTTATTTCGAGAACTAGGCAGCGATGCTAGCTTAAACTGGAGGATCTGGACTCCTCCAAATGACTGGCATAAACGGTATAAATGGCTCAAGGATGAGAAATGGAAGCCC